ACAAAGTTGGAAATGAATAGATGTTTAATTAACTATCTAGAAAATGTAACGTTATGGCAACTTCATTCATCATTAAATTTAGTACTCATAAACAATCAAATTACATTTGGAAATAATCTGAAAATTAGATTTTCTTGAGTCACAAAAATTTCCAAGTAGGCTCAATGATTGCCAAGAATCACAGCCATCGCAAATGTGAATCTCCTTGTAGCCAAGTAATTTCAAAGGCGAAAAAAATCTTAAAAAATTTTTAATGCAAAAAAACGTTGTTTTAAATTAATGTGACGTGTATGCCATGGCCCATGTAGCTCAATGGTTACAATGCTGGTCACGGGTTCCATTCTCACGTACCTGGGTTGCAGGTTCCATCCCTGGTTCCAGTCACCATGCCTGTGGGAAGCAACCAGTAGACATGTCTCTCTCATATCCATGTTTCTCTCTCTCCCCCTACTTACTCATGCACCCTCTCTAAAAATCAATGGAAAAGTATCCTCAGGTGAGAATGAATTTTAAAAAATTGATGTGACATGTAGATACAAAAATATAAGTAGCCTTAAGACTCGGGGGGGTGGGGGAAGAGGTGGTTGGATAAGAAATGCTAGTAAGTTGGATCAGTGCTTGCTATTCAGGCCTACACTCTGAGTATGAACACTGTCCAGGGCACCAGTGGTCCAGGGGACCCTTGGAAAGGCTTCTCTGAGGAGAGGATATTTAAACAGAGAGACATAAATGACAAGAAGGCACCAACCATCCCAAAAAGTAGAAGAGAATCTAGTTAGAGGTTCTGAGCTGGGAATGCTGTCAGATTTCTAAGGAACAAAGAGAGGGGCAATTTGGCTGGTCTGAAGTTGGGGCTTTTGGGTTGTAGGAAATAAAGCATGTAGAGTCTTATGACAATACAGTAGTGCCCCTTTAGCGGAGGACAGTTCCAAGATCCCCAAAGGATACCTAAAACTACGAATATCCTATCTAGTAAAGAGGGAACATGCTATTGACCATCACTCCGTCACAAAGATGGGTGGACCCACAGCTGAAGCCAAGTTCCCATAAGGAGCAATCAGCAGGGACCTGAGGCTACGCCCTCCCCTGCCCCGTGGGGCTTGACAGGGGACCTCAGGCTGAGCCCCCACACCAGCACCAGGCCGGGGGACCTCAGACAGCATCCCCCCGCCCCAGCATTGGGCCAGGGGACCAGAGGCTGCCTGGCTGGGCTTGACAGGAGACCTCAAGGTGCATCCCCAGTGCTGAGTTGGGGGACCTCAGGCTATGCCCCCCACCCCCAGCACCAGGCCAGGGAACCTGAGGCTGCACCCCTCTACCTGGCTGGGCTTGACAGGGGACCTCAGGCCATGCCTCCCGCCTTGGCACCAGGCCGGGGGACCTGAGGCTATGGCCCCCACCCAGGGGGCTTGATGGGGACCTCAGGCTGCTCGCCCTGCCCTAGCGCCAGGCCGGGGGGCCTCAGGCTGTGCCTCTCACCAGGTGAGGCTTGACAGGGGACCTCAAGGTGCACCCCAGTGCTGGGCTGGGGAAACTCAGGCTGCACCTCCCGCCCAGCGGGGCTTGACAGGGGACCTCAAGGCACACACACGCCACCCTGGTCTGGGCTGGGGGACCTCAGGCCATAGCACCTGTCCTGGCGCTGTGCCAGGGGACCTGATGCTACATCCCCTGCCCAGTGGGACCTGACAATGGTGGGACTGGCCAGGTCTGGATCTAGCCTCATGGGGCTGGAGGCCAGCCAGGTTCTGGGTCTCACACGATTTTAGGGTGCATGTAGGTGGGTGGGGACTTGACTCTGGATCCCATGATCAGCCCCACACTCTGACAGGAAGAAGGTTTTCATATACATTTTACTAATTTTCTTTCATCTCTGACACTTCTATTATAGAGAAAGGGCAAACAGCAATATTAAATTATTTCCTCTAATCCCTTTTTAATGTGCACAAATTTTGTGCACCAGGCCACTCGTATGCGTATGTGTGTGTATGTGTATATTAAACTATCCCTAAATATACTGTTTTTCCTAAACACACATGCCAGTGATAGTTTAATTTCTAAATTAGGCAGTCAGAAATTAACAATAACAGAAATTAACAAATCTAAGGGAAAAGCAGTCAGTGCCCCTGACTAAATAATCAGGTATTACATGTTTTTTACATTTTTATTGATTTTAGAGAAAGAGAAACATCAATGTGAGAATGAAACATTGATCTGTTGCCTTCCGCACACTCTGACCAGGGATTGAACCTGCAACCTGGGTATGTGCTCTGACAGGGAATTGAACCTATGACCCTCAGTGCATGGGACGATGCCCCACCAACAGAGCCACACCATCCAGGGCGAGATTTCATTTTCCTTTTCTTTTTTTTTCTTTTTTTTTTTTTTTAATAAAAAATATATTTTATTGATTTTTTACAGAGAGGAAGAAAGAGGGATAGAGAGTTAGAAACATTGATGAGAAAGAATCATCGATCAGCTGCCTCTTGCACACCCCCTACTGGGGATATGCCCGCAACCAAGGTACATGCCCTTGACTGGAATTGAACCCGGGACCTTTCAGTCCGCAGACCGACGCTCTATCCATTGAGCCAAACCGGTTTCGGCCGAGATTTCATTTTTCATCGTGATATCAGAACAGTGCACAATTTAAAACATGAACTGTTTATTTCTGGAGTTTTCCATTTAATATTTTCGTATCAAGATTGAGGCAGGTAACTGAACCGTTGAAAAGTAAAGCTGTGGGTGGGGGCAGTGGAGCAAAGAGATGACTGTGTCCTCATCCTGAGAAAAACAGAAAACCACTCACATTATAAGCAGGAGAGGGTCTAATCCAATTTGATGTCCGATGTCCAATATAGTAGCCACTTCCCATAAGGGCTCACGAGCAGCTGAATATAGCTACTTCCACTAAGAAACAGAACGTTCCATGTCACTTAATTTTAACTAACATTTCAATTTAAAACCCAATATGCAATTGGGCTCATGGAACATACTTTTCATGGGATGGCTTGGGCATGAGAGTTTACATTTTCTTTTTTAATATATTTTATTAATTTTTCACAGAGAGGAAGAGAGAGAGAGTTAGAAACATCGATGAGAGAGAATCATTGATCAGTTGCCTCTTGCACACCCCCTACTGGGGATGTGCCCGCAACCAAGGTACATGCCCTTGCCCGGAATCGAACCCGGGACCTTTCAGTCCGCAGGCCGACGCTCTATCCACTGAGCCAAACCGGTCCCGGCGAGAGTTTACATTTTCAACTGTAAATGTTATGAAACTTAAAGCCAGACCAACTCTTTCTGATAAAAATGTAGCTGTAAAATGAATGGGATTTCACAGACTTTGTGCAGAGTAAAATAACGTAAGTTACTTCATTTGTATTTTTTATACCCACCACCTTTGAAATATTTCGGTTATACTGGATTAAATACAACATTTTTATTTTTTTTAAATCCTCGGGGGGCACTGACCTCTTTTTCCCTTAGGTTGTCAGGACATATTTTCCCATTGACGTTTAGAGAGAGTGGCCGGGAAGAGGGAGTGAGGGAGAAAGAAACAAAGATGTGAGAGAGACACATCCATGGATTGGTTGCCTCCCGCACAGGCCCCAACCAGGTCGGGGATCCAATCTGCAATCCAGGTACATGCCCTTGACCAAGAATCGAATCCAAGGCGCTTCAGGTGCGCCGACCTACTCTCTAACCACTGGTCCACCCATCCACACGTGTGTTTTGATGTGATATATTATATGTGTATATATGATGTTGTTTTTTAAACTTTTTAATATTCATTTCCTAATGATTAGTGATGTTGAGCATCTTTTCATGTACCTGTTAGCCATTTGTTTGCCTTCTTTTCTTTTCTTTTTTTAAAAAATATATTTTATTGACTTTTTACAGAGAGAAAGGGAGAGAGAGAGCTAGAAACGTCGATGAGAGAGAAACATCGACCAGCTGCCTCTTGCACACCCCCCGCACAACGCTGTAAGTAGGAATTCGAGTGGCAGAGGCTGGTCTCGAACTCCTACTTACAGCGTTGTGCGTCTGACACAACTCGCAGCGGCCCACGTGGAGGCGAGGGAGGGATTCGAACTGGGCTTGACAGCCAGGTCCCGGGCCCCAGCGCCGCGTTACCGCTGCTCCATCTACCTGCAGGGGTGAGTCCACACACGTTCACAACGGACTCCACCGCCGCCGGGCGTAAGGGGCCAGGAGCCCCTCCGAGAAGCTCCCGGTAGCGCTCACCTGTTGACAGGCGCCGAGGCTGCAAACAGCCCTTCTTTCTCCTCACAACCCACCTCCTCCGCGCCGGCGGCCGACTTCCGCTTCTTCCCCACGAATCCCAAGCCCAGTCTTCCTCTCCTCCCGCCCCCTGAGGCTACTCAGCCAATAATCTCTCAAAGCATCTGCTTTATCAACGCCCCTCCTCACCTGCCAATCACCGCGGACTCCAGCGCCGCCCTTCCCGCTCTCTTAAGCGAGCGCCGCGCGCCACCGCACGGCAGTTGGCGGCGCTGCTCCCCTTGAGAAGCGCCTTCCGGAAGAGTTAGGCGAAGGGCGGGCCACGCTGGTGCGGGAACCCTCAGGATTGGCCGACAGGATTGACTCCGCCTACCCCCTCCCGGGTGCTCGGAGTCTTGAGACGCTGGGGATTGGTTCCCCGCGGATAGCCAAAGAAGCCAAGAGGTGATCCCGCCTCCCTGGCACAGCCCGGAGAGGGAGCTCCGCGGATTGGTCCGGAGAGTCTCCACGCACGCCCCCCGGCGCTCCAGGATTGGCTAAGAGGGTGCTCACGCCGCCGAGGAGCGTTGACGGTGATTGGTCGGAAGGTGCGGCCGGCTATTTGAAGGAGGCGCGGGGAGGGTATACGCAGTTCAGTCCGCGGACCGAGACGGCCGGCGGGTTCCGTGGGTAACGCTGTCCCGCTGATCCTACAGGATCCAGACGTGGGTTCGGACAAAGCCTCGGCTTCGGTCGCGGCCCGGCCCGGCGAGGCGATGGCCAAGGTATCGGTGCTGAACGTGGCGGTGCTGGAGAATCCGAGCCCTTTCCACAGCCCTTTCCGGTTCGAGATCAGCTTCGAGTGCAATGAGGCTCTGGCGGACGGTGAGGCTGGGCCTGTGTGGACACTGCCCCCTCCCCCCGGGTCCCGTGGCCAACCCGACTTTCCCGTAGAGACCCTCGCGGCCAACCCCGACCTTTTCTGTGAAATACCCCCCCCCTCCCGCTTCCCCTCAAATTGCCATCTTATCCCCCTCTCGCCTCTCCCGCTCTAACCTCTGCGTGGAAGCTGCCTCTTACCCCCATCCCGCGGCCAACCTGATCCCTCCCCCACAGGGGAAACCTCATCATCCCATTCTTCCAAGCCACACTTTTTTCCTGGGGAGCTTCTTGGTTCCCGTTTTCTATACGGAAGTTTCAGCCGCCGTTCTTTAACCTGCGGAGACCCTCGACCACCCCATCTCCTATTTCTGTGTAGAAGATTTTTATATTAACGTTACAGCCACCTCTCCACCTACCATTTCTTTGGCGAGACGCCCCCACCTCACTTTTTCCCCTGTGGAGACTCCAGCCCTCAGCCCCCTCCCGTTGCCTACGGAAACCTTAACCTCCTCCCCCGAATTTCCATGTAAGAGGCCTCTCTCTCCCAAGCACCCTTCCAATTTTCTCACTGGAACTCTTTTTTTTCCCCTCATCCTTTTTCCCTGGGAAGAAAGATCCTCGCGCCCTGTGACAAGACCTCACTCACCCCGTCTCCCCATTTGTCACACAATAATCCCCTCCCCGACCTACTGATGTTTAAACAACCCCACTAATTTCTTCCTGTTTTCTATCCCCACACACATATCCTAGAACCTGGCTTCCCTCCTCCTCCTCCGCCTGGCCCCAGCCCTCTCCTTGAGCTCCCAACTGGCCTAGGTTCCAGCTCCAGTCTTTGAGAATAACTTAGTCTCCCCAGCTCCCATGCTTCGCTCTTCCCTGACTGGGGGCTTTGATGAACACACTCCGATTTGAAGGGTGGGCTAGCCAGGAAAGCATCCAAGCATGTCTTACATATAAAGGAGGCATGTGGGCCGTTGGCCGAGAGTTTGACATGCGTGCACAGTTCCCGCTGTGCGCACCAGGTTCCAGCTGGCCTACAGCCACAATTCTCTTAGCACTTTGGATGGTCTGACCAAATCTGGAGGTTAGGTGAGGTGGGCTGACCCATGTCGGTATCCAGCTTCAAACAGTCAGCTCGGAGGCTACAGCCTTTTGGGCATTTTTTTTTAATTTTATTTTATTTTTTAATTTTATTAATTTTTCACAGAGGAAGAGAGAGGGATAGAGAGTCAGAAACACCGATGAGAGAGAATCATCGATCAGCTGTCGCTTGCACACCCCCTACTGGGGATGTGCCCGCAACCAAGGTACATGCCCTCAACCGGAATCGAACCCGGGTCCTTTCAATCCGCAGGCGGACGCTCTATCCACTGAGCCAAACCGGTCCGGCTTGGGCATCTTTTTCCAAGATGCCTTCCTAGATGTACTTACTCATCTGTGTGACATAACGGTAGGCGTGGCTCTCATCTCCCAGGTGAGAAGATGAAGCCACAAAAAATGAAAGCCACAAAAAATGAAAGACCTTTCAAGGGAAGGCCTGTAAAAATCACTTTCAGGAGGAAGTACAGGCTTACCTCCGTTTTATTGCACTTCGCAAATGTTGCAATGTTTACAAATTGAAAGAAAGACTCACCAGCAAAAAGATCACTGCTCACTTTATTATAATGGGGTGGAACTGAACCCACAGTATCTGAGGTACAACTACTCCATCCAACCATTTGTCCACTTGGTGGCTAAAAAGAGAAGAGGCAGCAGCTGAAGAGTGGAGACCTGGGAAGCCAGGGTGTACTAATTAGCACCTCGAGGTGGCAGTGGGGCAGTTTGCTTGCAAAGCCAGCCACTTGGGTTAGTTTAGAGTTGATACAATTGGAGATGTTTGTGTGCTGGGCCAATGGATCAGTTTCTCCCTGGTTTCTCTTCTTTTTAAATTATGTCATCTACTTGTGGCTAACTCTAAAGTCCAGTTAAAACCTTTCTGTAACAAGGCCGGTGTAAATAAATTAAGTGTAGAATGTCACTGTGTGTAATAAGACTTAGTTTTAAAGCCAAGAGGAGATGTAAGGAGCTAATAGGTTAAGGGATTCACAGTTCCCAAACGGCAGGAGATCAGATTTCAGTTAGCCTGTTTGTACTCCTTGTATTTAAAAGGAATTGTGTGGCTGTTAGGTAATACTTGTATTCCTAGGAAGCCCCTGCCTGTTATTTAATAATCTGTTTATAGAATCAGAGTTGAGGTCCAAAATCAAACTGCTGGTCATTATATTTTACTAGAGAGAGAAGCAGCATGACTTAAAGGTCAATAGCTGGTTGGTAAAATAATTGACACTAGGGCTTGTTCTGAGTCCAGGGTTTTTTGGTGTGTGTGTGTGTGTGTGTGTGTGTGTGTGTGTGTGGATTTCAGAGGAGAAAGGAGGGAGAGAGAGAGAGAGAGAGAGAGAGAGAGAGAGAGAGAGGAACATCAATGATAAGAGAGAATCATTGGATTGGCTGTCTCCTGCACACCCCCACTGGGGATGAACCCTCAACCTAGGCATGTGCCCTTGACCAGAATTGAACCCAGGACCCTTCACTCTTCAGGCCAATGCTCCATCCACCGAGCCAAACTAGCCAGGGCTTGAGTCCAGGGTTCTTTATCTTTACTAAAACCTGGGAGAGAATGCATCCTCTATTTTAGAAATGGAACATAAATAGAACTGATCGTAGAATTTATTTCCACATCAGAACTCTCAAAGGAAGCAAAGCGGGTACTATTATTAATTACACCCGGACAATAAAGCTTTTGCCCAGAGAAACTCAGGTTGGGAAGTAAACTCTGGCCTGAAAATCCAGGCTGTGGTTCTTACCCTTAACGCTCTAACCTATCAACCTGCATTCTGCCTCTTCCCACAGAGCAAAAGGAATTTGATTCCTGCCGGCGTCCCAAAAAATAGCGTGGACCTGGCTTTGGAAGCCTCAGATAATGAGGAATTCTCAGTCTGGTTATGTTGACACTAGCAACTACAGATCTGACAAGACACCTTTTGCTCTCTTTTGTCCTCAGCTTCTGGAAATAGATGCTTCCAAAACATGGGTTCACATTTAACATATTAGGTTTGTCCTGCGACTTTCAATTGAGAAATTCAACAGGCGCTGCTTGACTAAGTCATGGGGCCAGATGATCTGACCCGCAACTATGGTCAGGCCAAGGTTCATCTGTATGATTATGAACAAAAATAAAATGACAAACAGAAAAAGACCTACTGGATACATTTTTTTTTTTTAAAGGCAGGAAACAGTTTCCTCAGCTATTTCAACTACACAGGTCTTTTATCATGCCGTTGGTTTTGGTTTTGTTTTCACACATAGTGGAGGAGCATCTTGTGCAGTGGTTAGATCATAACGTTAGGGTATAAAGACAAAATGAAATGCAGTCAAATTATCTTTGAAATTGCCCCAAAGGTGCCTGGCTGGTGTGGTTCAGATGTTGAGCATCGACCCATGAGTCAAGAGGTCACCATTGGATTCCCCATCAGGGCACATGCCCAGGTTTCGTGCTCCATCCTGAGTGGGTGGCACACAGGAGGCAGCCACTTGATGATGTTTCTCTCTCATTGATGTTTCTAGCTTTCTATCCTCCCTTCCTCTCTCTCTTAAAAAAAAAAAAAAATCATATTTCAAAGTAAAAAATAAATTGCCCTGAAGGTAAGTATGCATGTTACATGTATATAAGTGTTTTATAGGAGTGAGTTTGTGCTCTATTGGTAACTGATACTCCAAATCTAATTCTAAAGAACGGTTATATTAAAAACTGATGCCACTTAAGTATGGCACTTGAGTTAAAATAACACTTCAGCTTTAAGATGATTCCAATTTATAGGTTCTTTTCTTGTCCTGTAGATGATTTTATCAGCTCCTCAAACTTTTGAGTTAATATTTCTCTGATCACCCATTAATTATTTGGTTAATTTCTTCAGTATTGAGGGATCCACTGTGGCTCACTTGCCTGGCCACCCATGCAGTGTGTTTTCTCTTCCAGTCAGCACCCACACAGTCTTTGTTCAGATTTGCCTAACAGTATTGAACATCAAGTGCCTTTGATGTGCCCCTAGCCTGCTCTCAGTCTTCTTTTTATCTCTCCTCCCCAGCACATTAGTTAAATGCACACACATGTGATTTCAGCTGGAGATGGGGGAGAGACCAGAAGGAAAGATACCAAAATCTAGACGTGTGAGAGATGTGAGAACAGCTAGCGGGTTCTCTGATGGTTCTAAACATGTTATGTCTAGTTATGTCGCTACTTACAACAAAAATAAATCAATAAACTTTATTCTCCCTGCAAATAATAAAAAATACTAGAGTTTGAACCCCAGCGAGCCTGGACCGGGTGGGTGTCATTGTATCTCAGATCTGATAGAGTCCCTGAGTAGGCCTGGGTGAAGCTGCAAAGGGACAGGAAGCCAGTGCATCGAGGAAGAGCTTGGGGCTCAGATGACCAATCTCGGTAATTGTGGCCCGGCATGAGTGTGCTTCCGAAGTTGGATGCACTTGCAGGACACTGGACCAAGGAACAGGGCAGCTTCCAAGAGCATTTGCTTCCTGTGAAAATCACAGCTTGTGAAACTTCCCCCAGTTGCTGGAGTGATAGGTTGTGTAATTTCAGAGAACCTAAAATAAGTTTCAGGTCTCCTGCCAAGCTTCCCTGTACTAACGTGACCTTGCCCCTGATACACTTGGATCTCTTGCAAGAGGCAGTGGTCACTGGGAATTTCCTGTGATTGATGGGCAAGGTCTCCTTAAGCACCTTTCCTTTAATCTTGCTGGAACATACTCAGGAATGGGGTCCCCTCTACTGGATCGATACAAGAGAGTTGACGTTACGAGGAGCACCTTATGATGCCACATTTGTTGATTGAGTCATGGGTCACCCAATGGCCATAAACAGGCATGACTTGGTGCTGGATCTAAAAGACCTGGGGCCTGGCTGACTCCCACAGCAGCCTTGTCTTCCCCCTCCTGCCGGCTGGCTGTCCTGCTGTATTGGAATCTGCCGCCCTGCCCCAGTTGTCGAGGGATCTACTCAGTTTTGTGGCACCGGTCCCTGTGTGTGAAAGAGGATGCTGCTTCCTATCCCAGTACCCAGTGGGCAGGGCCCTGAAATGGCCCAACTCCCTGCTGTTCCCTCCTCAGCACGCCTCACGTGGGTCTTAATTCAGCCTCTGCCATACGGTTTGTCCTCAGGCTCTGAGAGGCCCGAGTTTCCCTGGAGGTGCAGAGTCAAGGTCGCCTGGCAAAGCTAGGCCCATAGGAGAAATTTCCCACTGCCACTAGAAGTAAGAGTTTCCTGCCCGCCCAATGTTCAGGACTGTAGTGCCTGGCACTTAGTGCCCAGGGGATGTCAGGTGTTGTTTAGAATAAAAATCTTTCACTCTATTAAGGATCTCTCCAAAAGTGACACGAGAAGACCCTTTCTCTGCCTTCTTGCTGTCACGTTATTTCAATTCCCTAACACCCTATGTCCTTGCAGACTTAGAGTGGAAGATAATTTATGTTGGCTCAGCTGAGAGTGAGGAGTTTGATCAAATCCTAGACTCAGTGCTGGTCGGCCCCATCCCAGCAGGGAGACACATGTTCGTCTTTCAGGTAAGAAAGGAGGCCTTGGGCTTTCATACCTAGAAACATGCTCTTCTACCAAAAGCACAGAGTGTGGTTTAGTGGTCAAAAGTTCAGATTCAAATTCTCGCTCTGCTCTCAAGAACTGACCTCTCAATGGTACTACAAACACCTTTCTTTCCTCCATCTCTGTGTCATGTCTTACCATGAACCACTGATTCACAGCTGATCCTCATTATTCGCAGGAGTTACATTCTGTAAAGCTGCTGTGAACAGTGAATTAGTGAACACTGGACCATGGCCCCATAGGACATACAAAGCTAGGTTCCTGCATGTCACATTTTTGTCAACCAGTCAACACATAACCTTGTTTTAGGAGTGTTTAAATACCTCAGTTGATATTGTTGATTCATTAACATTGAATTCAGAGCTGACGGTGCTAAGGCTCAGTATGTGTTTTCCCTAGGCCGATGCTCCCAACCCATCCCTCATCCCTGAGAGCGACGCCATTGGTGTGACCGTGGTCCTCATCACCTGCACCTACCATGGGCAGGAGTTCATCCGTGTGGGCTACTACGTCAACAATGAGTACCTCGACCCAGAGTTGCGGGAGAATCCACCCCCAAAGCCAGACTTCTCTCAGGTGGGGTCGATCTCCACTCCCTGCTCTCTATCATCTGGCTCCTTTGTATCTGGGGGAGTTGAGTCATTGGATTGATTCAGGAGCCAAGGTCACTTACAGTTTTCAAGTAGTGCTCAGAGAGAGAGGTCTTTGTTTCCAGAAGCATGCCTTGCAGAATTCAGAGTAGATAGGTTCTGGCCCTAAATCAGGGTGCACAGGCATTCCCTGGAGTCCCACACATATTCTTGGTGATGGAATAAGCATGGTCTGCTCTTCATGGGTCTGGGATAGGAGACGAGGGGTGCCCTGGGTTTGTAGGAGTAATGATAGGGCATGCTGACAATTGACATTTCTCTTCTACCCCAGCTCCAACGGAACATCTTGGCCTCGAATCCCCGAGTAACCCGTTTCCACATCAACTGGGACAACAACACGGACAGGCTGGAGACCATAGAGAACCAGGACCCTGCCCTAAGCTGCAGCCTCCCCATCAACTGTGCCCCTGTCAAGAGCATGGGGCTCCCTGGCTGCATTCCTGGACTCCTCCCCGAGAACTCCATGGACTGCATCTAACTGAGGTCTTAACCGGGGGACTCCAGGCCCTACCTGGGCCCAGCTAGGACTATGGCCAGTGTCCCAACACATCTGGAGGGGGCATCTGGAAGACTTTGGGGCCATCAATTATATTCAGGCCTATCAAACTTATCCCTGAGGAGAGAATGGACCTCGGGTCTCTCCCAATCTTAGCCCAGAAAGATTATCTCACCTTTACTGCCCAGGCCTATAAAAAGCAGGTACTTTAAGTTAATTCTCTAACTTGCATCCTTTCTCTTCCACACATAAGCCAATATGTCACCACGCTCCCATAGAAGTACCATTGAACCAGAGCTCTTCCCACAGACCTCCCTGGCCTTCCTTGAGGCTTTCTTGGTCAATGGTCCCAGCCCTGTTGAGCTAAAGGCTCTGTCATTTCCCTTCCCAAACATTTGAGTAGATCCACCCAGCTTTCTGGAGCCACAAGGAATCTGAGTTAGAAGGTAGACTCGGACACAATTTCTGTCCTTTCCCCAGAACAATTTTTAGGTCTTTTCAATCCAGCAGCCCCTGGAAAACTCTGTTCACAAAAGTGTGATCAGCTGGATGCTGAGGAATGATGGTTGATTCTCCTCTCAGTCACAACCACCTTCTTGTTACCTCCTCACTGGATCTGGATTTCCCTGGAGGCTGCCACTGTGGGAGCAGCCGACCAGGCTCTGTTTTGACATCAGGGCCTCTGGCTGCCTTTGCCCTCTGCTAAGACCGTATGTTCCCACAGGCTACAGAGTGATTACAGGCATGGGAAACGGTAGGGACCCTGAAAACCACCTTCCCCTGCCATACTCTGCCATGTGCCCCATCCCTTCGCTGCTACGTGGGTGCTGTTGAATATTAAAAGGTTTTTGTATTAAATATGTTTGGTTGATCTAAAAATGCATTTCACCTCTATTGATTGTTTCTGCTTTTGTCTTAGATGAACTGAGGTAGCTTTGTCCGTCTTTCCTTGGAACATGGGGTGGAGGGAGGTCCCTGGCCAATAGGTTGACTGCCTCTTGTCTCCTTGCTCCACTTCTTGCCCTAGTCCTAAATGGTTGTATATTTGTAATCCAGACTGGGATTTGGAAAGGGGTTTTTATTTGTTTAAGCTTAAGCAATGCAGCTGTTGTAGAGCATAACCAGTGGTGTTTTTTTTCAGACATTGACCTTGACCCACAGGAAGAAACGTAACATCGTACTCCAAGGACACAGCAACACTTTCATTAACTTTTACTTAACCTTTCTTTGTAACCCCACAGCCAGACAGCTGGTGAGCCATTTCCCCATAATTCCCATAAGAGCCCAACTCTTCCCTTCCTGAGACTGTAGTTGATTTAGGAAAATGGGTGTAGACAGCTGCTGGGTAGAGTGCAGGTGGTACAAACTTAGAGCAGTGAGTTGGCTGGCTTGCCGACTTATGACCTCCTAAACCCCTCCAAGTTAGGAGAGCTGGCTCATCAGTCCCCTGCCCCTCTGACCACTTCCTTTTTGGGCTTTCCTCGGCTTCAGTGGCTTTCAAATGGGGGCACTTTTGCTCATCAGGGCACATTTAGCAATGTTGAGATGGTTTTGGTTGTCACATCTGGTGGAGGATAAAGAGGTTCCATTGGCATCCAGTGGGTAGAGAAATGGAATGCAGCTAAACTGGGGTGGGGCTGGGGGGGGGGGGGGGTTGCTATAGTGTACAAGACAATCCTCCCAGCAAAGAATGATCAGGCTCCAAAAGTCAGTAGTGTGGCAGTGGGGAACACTGACGGTATACCGGTCTACGGATGAAAAGAGCAGCATCTTGCTAAGTCCTGGAAGGCAGATTCCCTCTGCATTGCCCAGACAGAATTCTCAGGCTGTCGCTGCCCCAGATACCTCATCTGTAAAATGGGAATGATAATGCTTCCTGCGTGGCAGGGCTTGGTGAGAAGTAATGTATTTAACGAGAGGCACGAGCCCAGTGTGGGCACCCAGCAACGGGATGGACACTGAGGGCTCCCTCCCAGTCGCCCCTTGCTCCCCAGGACCAGCATCCTCCAGGATCGCCAGCCCCATGCCCGGGCCTGCTGCAGCTAACCTTCGCCGGGCCTTATGAATGACGAAGGCTAGAGGCCCGGCGACCTCTGACCCGTGGCGCCATTCCCCTCCCCCGCTGGCAGGTGGACAGTGACTGCGCCGGGGGAGGGGAAGGGACCGTGGAGCCAACCCTGGCTGGCCCGTGGCCGCTGCCGCACTGAGCGGAGGCGGGGGACTGCGGCGTGCACGGGGCCGGGCAGGCGGCCGCCTGGACCGCCTCCTGATTTTCCAAGCGCGGCGCAGCCATCCGCCAGCCTCGGCCGCCCCGCCCCGCCCCGCCTCGCAGCCCTGACTGCAAGCTGCGCCTCCGCCCCGCCCTCTCACCCCGGGATTGACACTGAATGTTCTGCGGGGGACGGGCCGGATCGCACGCCTCGGCCAATTGGCGGCCGCCCTGGGCAAACCTGGGGCCTTGTCGCTGACCGCAGCCAATAGGCGCCTCCTGAGCGCGCCAGTGGCCGGGCATCCGCGGTGCGCGTCACCGGGCTGAGACCTATCGTGGCGCTGGTGGGTCGCAGAGAGCCAATAGGCGGCAGCCTGGTGCCGTCAGTCAGGGCGGCCTGGGCCAATGAGCGCAGGCTGCGGGAGCGTCACAGACAGACAGTAGCAGCGGACTTGGGCTGAGGTTCCCGGGCGGGCGGGCGCGGGGAGACGCGGGAATCAGGGGCTTGGCGGGGGTCGCGGCGCCGCAGCCAGCGCAGCAACCCAAGGGGCCGCCGCCGCCGCCGCCGCCCAGCGCGCTCCGGGGCCGCCGGCCGCCGCCAGCACCCGCCGCGCCGCAGCTCCGGGTCCGGCCCCGGCCGCCGCCGCCGCCGCCGCCGCCGCCGCCGCGATGGGCAACGCCGCCGCCGCCAAGAAGGGCAGCGAGCAGGAGAGTGGTGAGTGCCCAGGCCATGACCTCAATTCCGGACCCACGCTGTCAGCCCCCGCCTTGTGCATCACCGCCTGGCCCCTCCCCCCCCCCCATTTCTTTTTGCTTACTCCCAGCGCCCCCTCCCCCTGCCTGTCCAAGGTTAGGGCCCAGGGCCCGCAGAACACCTCTCGCAGGGGCCCCTTTGCCAAAGGCCGCCCTCCACTGCAAAAACGGTGCCCCCCCCACCCAGCTGTCACTGCCAACCATGGCACGCATGACCGCTGGGGCCCCACATGGGGCCCTGTCGCTACCCCATTCCCTATTTTCCTGGACCCTCTCCCCATATTCTAATACCCTCACTTCCTCACTCACCTCTCCCATTGATGGGCCTCACCAACCAGACCCTAACTCAGGCTTCTGCCAGTCTTGGGAGTGCTGTGGGGTCTGCCTCCATCCCGTAGGGACTTTGGCCACTTGGTGACCACACCCCTCCCTCCTCCAGCCCCCGCCATCTTTCTCTTGCCCTTTCCTTCTTCACCTTACCAGAGCCCCCCTCTCCAAACACACCGTGCCCACTCGAGCTTTTCCCAGAGCCACCTCCAGCATTGTTTTTCCCTTCTGTGCCACTTGGCATGGGGGGCAGGATCATTCTGGGTCCCTCTGCCCCTCTCTCATCCCGTCACTCTGCTTCTCTGCTTGTGTTCTCTCCTCCCAAGTGTCTGTCCCTGGCTGGGGTAGCAGACTGTTTATGAACCTAGAGGACTGACTGCCTCAGTGTGTTCAAAGCCAAGTTTGAGTCGGCCTTGCTGGGTTGGTTTCTTCCCCCCTCCCCGGTTGGGGTTAGGAGATGGCAGCAGAGCCTTTTCCCCATCTCCTGCTGTGTAGTGAGCTCTGGGCTCCTTAGAGGGCCCCCCCATAAGAAATGGTCGTTTCACAACTGAGGTTCCGTCATTCACCCAGTCCCCTGGGCTTCTTCGCCCGCTCCTGGCTCGGGATGAAAAGTGGGGGATGAAGCGTGCCTGAGTTTAACAGGGCTCATTCAGCCTGAGCTGGGATGGTGAGGAAGGGGACTCAGGGGGTGGCAGTCGGAGAGAGTAACGGGTGACATCGAATGACTCGCGTTGCCAAGGGGCAGATTCTGATCATTGCAGGGCTCAGCCAGAAAGAAGCTGGTTCTCCCCTCCGCTCACCCTACAAAATGTGTTGGCCTGTTATAGCCGACCACAGAAGGAGATTCTGTATCTGCTTTCAGCAATGGTTCTCAGTCCCCCTTCCTCAGTTCCTCCAGTTGGTAGATTGTCATCATTCCAGGCCTAAAGCTGAACCTCCGCTAGGATCCATTTCCCGTTACCCAGAAATAGTCAGAGCTGAAAAGCGAGGCCTTGTCCAAATATGCCTTTCCCAGTTACTGGCCTCAAACCCCAGTGTCTGGCTGCCCTGACTCCCCCCTTCCAGAAAGACCTGCTAGGAAAACCAAGGAACTTTCATGTTCACATGGCAGAACTGAGTTGCTGAGCAGCCATAGGGAGGGCTGACATGTCCCCGATGGGCGGGGGATATGGCGGCAAGTGCCTGTAGCTGAGCACTTGATGACAGAGGAGCAGGTGGGTAGTGACAAAAAAAAAAAAAAATCTGGGCGTGAGCCTGGAGGGGACTGGGCACACAGGGAGGGGCTGGCCCCCAGCAGGTGAGGCCTGGGAGGTAGAAGGTAGAAGCAGGCAGCTATATATTGCAGCGGCTTGGTTGAAAGTTGGGGAGATGACCTAGTCCTGGAAAACTTTCAAGGGATATCAAACACTTGCAGTGTGGGGGGGGGGGGGAGGGAGGGAGAGGTGGGGAGAGCTGTACGGGGGGGAGATCAGAGGCTCCGGAAGGAACCACTAATTCTCTCAGAGCGCAAGGCAGGCATCCAGGAACGGGTCATCGCGGTGAGACAGGGCCGCTATTTACTGGGTATCTAGGATATGCCCAGCTCAATGGTTCCCATAGATCTGTCCACTCGAGTGGGTTTTCAGAACGGGCTGTTTTCTGAATTTTCTAAGTGACTCTGAGTTTGACTTAGATGACGTCACAGAGGCAGGAT